CAGTTTGTGTTCTCTGTAATCTTTTGTTTTGCTTGAACTCAATATATTTTTTTTTAAATTTTAGCTTAAATTGAGGTACGACTGACGTAAGTATGAATTAGTCTCGGGTGTGCAACATGCTTCGATGCGTGCGCACCCCGTGAAATGATCGCCACAGTGAGTCTAGTTATCGTCCGTCATCACACGGTGACCGAATTCTTTCTTGTGATGAAAACTTCTAAGGTTTACTACTCTCTTAGCGACTTTCAAACGTGTGACAGGATTGTTAGCTACGGACGCCATGCTGTGCTTTATAGCCCCGTGACATTTTGTAACTGGAAGTTTGTACCATCTGACGCCCTTCACCCACTTTTAAAAGCATTTCTTAAAGTTTTTGGAAAAAGGAAAGCGTTTCCAGTCCTGCACGTAATGGGGCCTGGACGTCACCACTGCGTCCTAACATGCTAAAAGCTGAACAGACTGAAAAACCAACAGCTCTTCTGGGACCTGGAGAGGCAAGAGGGACTCAGGGCAAACCACTGTCCCCAAGACTGGAGAGACACATGAACACAGAGAAAACTCACCAGAGGAGAGGCAGACGGCGGAACCTTCCAGGGGACCCAGGCTGGGAGGAACTCGGGGGCTCAGAATGCTGGGGGGCCCGGGTGCAGGGGCCACCTCACCGTGGGGGTCACCTGCATCAACCAGGTTCCCACAGCAGATAGCAAAGTCCCCTCACGCTGCCGGCAGCTGGAGGGGACGGCAACCACTTGGAAAGTGGCCAGAGCCCTGTCCTCATCCAGGTTGCCCCGGGAGACACTAATTAACCAGAGCCGAACCTGCAGGGCTGTCACCTGGGGGACGGAGACACCTGACTCACGCTGTCGGCCACCCTCCCCCACCTAGGAGAGGAAAAAGCTCAGACCCACTTGAGATGTCCGCAGCGCGGGGGCTCGGGCTGGCTGGCGGGGACCTAAGGCCGGGACGCAGAATGCTGCTGTCCCCCGGCTGCGTCCCGAAGGCCTGCTTACAGCGGTGCCGCACGGCTGGCCACCAAGAAAATCGTCACGAGGCAAACGACGTAGCGACGCGTTCGGTTACGCATGCGCACGTAGCTCACTCTTCTGCAGGTGCACGTGTGCTCGTCCGTAAATGGAACGACGGACACCAAGGACGCGGGAACGAGGGGAAGAATTGGGGTCGCTTTGTTACTGGGAGGTACTCACGCTGCGCCGTGTCGTTTTACTTGAAAGCGGCTGGATTCGTTATCAATGTACACTGCACAATCTAGGGCACTGAAAAAATTAAAAAGCAAGTATAATTGATAGGCTAAGAAAGGGAAGAAAACGGAATCATGTAAAATGCCCAGTTAACACCGCGAAAGGCAGAAAGAGCGCGGAAGACAAACGAACAAGGACCCGCGTGTCCCCAGCAGCTGAGCCCACAGCAGCCTGAGCCGAGGCCCCACGGGCTCGCTGCAGCGAGCTGCCCGGCCACCGCCAGCGGAGTGCCGTCACCTGCAGGCCAGGGCGCAGGAGCGGACACCCGCTTGGGACCAACACTGGGAGTGAAGCGTCACCGCGGGGCTAGCTGGCTACAAGGAGGAGGCCTGGCTGCCCACGTCCCGTCTCTCAGGGCACATGAGGTGACTTCCTGGCTAGTCAGTTAAGGGAATTCTGGGTAAATAAATTAATGGGCTCAATGGCTCTTTCCAGAGGCTGATTTTGAATTTTCAAAAAGGCCTTTCTGGAGACAGTGAGCTGTCCCTCAGGAGAGAGACCCCGTCAGGGTTTGCGGGTGAGGCTGCAGGCGTGCACCCCGAGCAGAGTTAGGGCGCCTCGTCTGCTGCCACCCCCGGGGGCCTGGGACGGCCTCCGAGGGCAGCCACTGGGACACAGGTGCCATTGCCGTAAAGCTGAACCTGTACTGAATATTCAATTCAATCAGTAGAACCTCAAAGGTAACGCATCATAGCAAAACACCACAGGTGATGAGGGAAGCCCTTTAGTTTTTCGTGTCAAGTGTCTAGAATTCCCAGATTCACATGTGACGGTGACAGGCTGGTACAAAGGGTAAATACACACACGCTCGTAGCACGCCCATTCACGAACACAGAGTAGTGAGAACTGATTTCTCATTACGAGTGACACATAAACCAGCCTAAAAGGGTCTTAGGGTTCCCGACAGCGGAGTCGTTTGGAGACAGGCCGCGCCTCCTGCGAGCATCTATTATTAATTCTAATGTGAACGAGACCATCTGCATAGCACACACTTCCGAGTCCCCATAAAAGTTGAAAGAGTTTCTATTTTTAGTTCTGACCTTCCTGTTGCTGCCTTTCCATCAGAGGTCCACACGGAACGTCCCTGGCCAGCCCTCGGGCGGGGAGCTGACCCTCCGCTGTCTGTGTGGGGCTTGCCGGCTCGATCTGGCCGTCTCTCTGCATTGACGCAGCCCGCTCACCGCTGCATTAGCTAATTGCAGGAGCACGGCGCCCCGGTGCGGTCCCAGACGGGGTTCCGGGGCCAGCTGGCCTCCGCCTGCTCTGACATGTGCACGACCCCTACCCTGCTCTTCATAAAATATTCAGACAGATGTCTGCTGCCTGCTCCCTCATGGAGCCCCGCCATGATGCCGTGTGAAGAAGGGACACGTCCCCGTGGGCCGTTTGCCATACACGGCTCTTAGTCGAAGTCAGTTCACGTAGCAGCCGGAGAAAGGTGGCATTTGAAAGGATCAGCCGTGATTTGAGCCCCACCTGTCTCTCGGTACCTCGATGGACACATGCACATCACGCACTGTCCACATGTGTGGCCGTGTGCGCCTCCCTCCATGTCTGCGGAGCTGCCCGCCCGATGCACCGTGCCCCACGTGCCACAGAGCCCGGGTAGGCAACGCGATTGGCTGTGGCCAGCGCCAACACACCTGCAGATGCCCGTGATGCTGTGGCTGGTGGCTGCAGCCTCAACTAGGGACCAGCTGGTTTGTGCTATGAAATGCGGGCCTAATACTGCTGGAAGCTTCTTTCAAGAAAAGTTACTCAAGAGAAACCAGAAATCCATATTCTTATGTGAAATCTGCCAATTTAAAAAATATTGGCTCAAATGCCTAAAATGTGGTAAATGCAGGGAATGTAAATTGCGCAGCCACTGGAAAACGGTACGCGGGTTCCCCCCAAAAAACTAAAATTAAGACCACCAGGGCGCCCCGCAGTCCCACTCTTGGGCACGGGCCTGCAGGAGGCGGCGTCACCGTCACCACTCTGTGGCCCACGTTCGCCGCAGCGTGCTCACAGCGGCCGGGGCGTGGAGGTGACCCGCGTCCATCGACGGCAGAGCGGACAGGAACCCGTGCTGTACAGACGTAACGGGAGAGCACTCAGCCACAGAAGAGGAAGAAAACCGTGCCGTGTGCAACGACACAGGTGGACCTCGAGGGCAGCATGCCAGGTGACGTAAGTCAGGCGCAGAAAGACAGACTCTGCTGGATCTCATTTATACGTGGAGTCCCAAAAAAACCAGACTCACGGATATGGAAAACCGACCAGTGGTTGCCGGACGTGGGGGTGGGTTGGGGACAGGAAATGGGTGAAGGAGTCGAAAGGCACAAACTTCTAGTTATAAGGTCAAGAAGTCCTGAGCATGACACCCAGGTAACAATACCGTGTCATAGATTTGAAAGTTGCCAAGGGCGTAAATCTCAAAAGTTCTCATCACAGAGAAAAGCACGAGCACGCGGGGTGGCAATCACTCTGCAGTAGGCACGTCTATCACGCCTTCAAATAATAGGTTACGTGCCAATCATGACGCGGAAAGATGCAGCCCAGTGAAGCAGCTGAGCGGTCACCGCCGTGTGCAGACCACAACAGCCCGTCGCCCATTCTCGGCGTCTGGCTCACTGTTTCTTACCTCTTTGCACGTGCTGTCGCTACCGCACGGACACGCAATCACTCTGCAGTAGGCACGTCTATCACGCCTTCAAATAATAGGTTACGTGCCAATCATGACGCGGAAAGATGCAGCCCAGTGAAGCAGCTGAGCGGTCACCGCCGTGTGCAGACCACAACAGCCCGTCGCCCATTCTCGGCGTCTGGCTCACTGTTTCTTACCTCTCTGCACGTGCTGTCGCTACCGCACGGACACGCGTTTGTGCACTCACCCCGTGACGGACACTCGGGTCGCCCCCACCTCTTGGTGACTGTGAGAGACGGGGGCACAGGCGCCGGCGGTAAACATCTCCGAGCCCCGGCTTTGCTCTCTTTGGAGTTTCGTGGTCTTTCAGGTCCAGCGGGAGGTTAAGGGAACCTGCTCGAGGCTCGAGTGCAGAGCTTCTGTTCTTCACGTTATGGCTTCCAAGGAAACACTTGCTGGGCTCCCTGGAGCCCAGTTGGAGCCGTGGAGGTGACCGGTCCAGGACCGCTCAGGGCACACGCTGGGCCCGGAGCACTCTGCTCTGGACAGCTGGCCTCTCCCGCTTCTGACCCCATGGAGCTCTAGGCGCGGGTGGTGGGACGTGGTGTCCTGAAGAGGCTCGTCGCCTCTCTGCTCACAGCCTGCCTGGAGGACCCGCCCTCTGCAGCTGGAGAACGAGGTGCTGGACCGCACGGCCTGAGTGGGCCCCGTCGCCACTGCCTGGAGGGGCACGTAGCCCGGGAAACCACGTTCTCGGCAGGGCTAGCCCCAGGCTCGACGCCCCAGGCAGAGGTGGGGGTCGGGGCCGAGCCAGACGACCACGCGATCCAGGGGCTGAGGCTGCCACTGCGCAGTGGCTATGATGGACCAGTGTCCCCGAGCTGTGGAACCGGCTGGTAAGGACAGGACCTGCAGTGCGCAGGGACGGGCAGGGCCGGCTGGCCCGTCGCGCGTGTGAGAGCCCACACCGTCTTCCCAGGAGGAACGTCCATCCCTCGCAGTGAGGGGCACAGGAAGCCGGGACTTGCTGGGGGACAAGTGGAAAGCAAACCACAAAGTCGGACAGTGTAGCGGGAACGCAACCGGGTGGCCATCGAGACAGCACCAAATCCTTCTGTTTTAAATAGTTTATTAATCTGTTTGGCCAAACGGGTAATGGAAACCGAGAATAACAATTTGCTAAAAAGTTCAGGCCGTGAACGCCCTCGCCCCTAAGAAACGAAAGACTCCGGGTCCCGGAGCGCACCGCGGGGTTACGACATTTCAAAATAAGGTTTCCGCTTCGTATGTAACAATGTAAACTTCAAAAATAGTAAACTCTAACCCCCTTCCCTCTTTACAGATCTATCACAGATAGAATTTTCTGGCAGACCTACATTGTGTACGTAAACAGCTCGGGCTTAAAAGTTTCATAAAAAGATGTACAGATTCAGTAAATCATCTTCCGGTCCTGGCCACGAAGGAGAGGCGGACAGCAGCTCACGTCCTGCGGAGTCCGCCCTGCGCGCGTGCGTGTCGCACGCCGCCGGCCACGCTCCGCCACGCCCGTCGGTTCTGTCGTTTTTGTACACACACACACGTATACAGCTTTATTTGCTTTGAAAGATGTCTACATCTAAATTATAAGACGGCGCCAGTGACTTACGACGTCACCTCGCTTCACATAGGTAAAGACAAAAATTCTGTAGAAGGCACTATAATTTCTGTGGCGTGACCTTACACAGACACGTGAGAGCAAGCCGGCTGGGGCTCGGGCCTGTCCTCCCCCTTCCGTGACCTGGCTCGGGCCTGTCCTCCAACAGCCGCCCCCAGACTAGTCCTAGGGATGGTTCTGATGTCCATTCTCTTTTTCTGCTTTACCTCTTCCCATCCCATCCATCTATCCATCCAAACGACCTTAATGGGTTATCTTTTGGTTCATTGAAATCCCTTAAAATTAAGAGTACAGCTCTGGTATAAAACAAAGTATGACCTACCACAGCTAAAAGTAGTCACAGTGTGCGATGCAGGTGTCGGTTACTAAGATTCCAAACGCTCGCCCTGCCTGCCGCTCAAAGCAACCTCGGCAAGGAGAACTTTAACTTGCTTTACATTCATTGAAAAAGGGCTGAGAGGTTTTTCTTTTCGCTGTCACGCTGAATCGGTACTTAAGTGGCAGGTCTGATGTGAAGAAGAGCAAGCAAACTGGACATGCCAATAAATACCGTGCGACTTACCGCAGGTTGCCAGAACTGTACAGGTATGTACACCTTACCCACCGAGGTCCCGTCAGGGGCAGGCCTCCCAGTCCCTACCGCGAGTGTCCCTGCACGTGCCAGACGCTGCCGTCAGCGGGCCAAGGGCGGGCGGGCTCTGCGGCTCTTCTGCGGTCCGGAGCACGCGTCCCCGGCGCCCTCCGCCGGCTCCTCCTTCTTCCTCGCCTTGAGGCGGGTGAGCAGCTTGATCAGCCAGACGTCCCACTCCTCGGGCAGGAGCAGGAGGAGGAAGCCCAGGCCGATGATGATGATGGCGATGACCCGGACCCCGTTGAAGACGATCGTGCTGGTGTAGTGATCAACCACTGCGGACACAAGAAGGCGGAGGGATGGTCAGCGGGAGGCCGGGCGGAGGCCACAGGGCGGCGGGGCCTTGGCAGGGAGCTGTCGTGTCTCAGCCACAGGGTCCTCCCCGCCTGCTGCCCCTAGTTCAGGCATCGATCTGTTACGCGCACACACACGCCAAAGTTCACCTGCGGCCACTTGGCATGACAGGATGACGATGTTATTGCTTTCTTTATGTTTTTGGTACTTCCCATATTTTCTACAATGACTTATTCTTACAGTGAAGAGCGTTATTTCGCCATGCGTGGACACACCTATGCTCTGAAGGCCAATCTTGAACTAGGTTTTAGACGATGTTATTGCTTTCTTTATGTTTTTGGTACTTTTCATGTTTTCTACAATGACTTACTTTATTCTTACAGTGAAGAGCGTTATTTCGCCATGCATGGACACACCTATGCTTTGAAGGCCAATCTTGAACTGGGTTTTGGAACAAATATAAATCCTTGTGCCTCCCCAGGATGCCATTAAGAGTGAGGCTCTAATGGCACCTGTGCCACCGCCGCTCAGGGCTCATTCCCGACTCACGTCAGGTGAGGGAACAAAATGAGAAACAGGAGTCGTGTCACCTAATAACAATCCAGATGACTATTCGAAGCCGAAAGATCAAAAGCGTGTGACTCTCAAGGGTTTTTTTTCTTTTTCTTTTTTTTCCTTTCTCTTTTCTTAACTAAACCAGACAAGGCAAATTTGGAACTTGCCTTCTGACACCAGATTGCTTTGCACTTAGATCATTTTGTGAGACAAGGTTTGCTTTCTGCAGAGCGTGCAGCTCTTGAAAAGTGACCGACCGGACGGCTGCCCGCCAGCTCTCCACGTTGGGGGGTGTTCTGCTGCCCAGTTTGAGGCTTGGCTCCGCCATGTCCCCTCATGTTTCCCCACATCCCCCCTTGTCTACAGGGTGGGCAGAGAAAGAGTAAGAGAGGGAACAGTTACACCTGAAAACACCCTGGTTCGTAGCCCTTTCGTGGAATTAAAGTGCTACTTTTATCTACTATAATTCAGAAATACTTTAAGTTTTAATCCTGGTAGAACACTCTGTTAATTCGACAGATGGGGACGGTCAGTCGGCATTACACACGAGCTGCTCTGGATCAGACGTCGATCGTGGCCGACTCCTCCAGGAGGGAACCGAACGCGAGTCCTCCTCTGACACGTTATTAAACTCCTCTGATACAGCTAAGCAGCGAGATGTGATTCTCGTGAGCCTCTCAGGCACCTGGCTGTGTGACAGGGTCACAGTGAGCTTCCGGCGACGGGCTGCCTGGAACACGCCTTCTCACACCGAGGACGCTGTGTGACCGTGAAGTCGCGGTGAGACACGGCGGGCACGTTATGAGTTAGTTTCCGGAAGCCTGAGCTGATGGAGACCGACGGGCTGGCTGCCTCCCACCAAGCTCTCGGGAGCTCGAGCGCTCTCTGCGTTTGAAGAGCTGCCTCACAGTTAAGTCATCTACTTCTCGTGTCAACCAAGGTGACGAGAGGCACAGCGTTCGCTTTTGGGGGAGACAAACTACGGCCGAGAGGTGATGATTTGGGACCTCTGTACCCCCAGGGGGCAGAGGTGGTGCCTGAGTCCATCCCGACGCCGGGGCCAGGCCTCCTGTCCCACGCCACCCTGGGGCACGTCTAGAGGACCAGGGCAGGCCACACACAGAACATGCGACATATATGGAGCACGTGACACAGACGGACCACATGACACACACAGAGCACGCAACATATGGAACATGCGACATACACAGGACACGCGACATGCACAGAACATGTGACACACAGAACGTGCGGCACACGCAGAACATGCAACATACATGAGACATGCAATACAGAGATCGCATGGCACATATGGAATACATGACACATGGACACAGGACATACAGACATGCAGTGCACATGGAACACGCGACACACAGAACATGCGACAGAGAACACATGGCACACGGAACAAACATGCGGCACAGAGCACGTGACACACGGAACACACAACACACAGAACATGCGACATACATGGAACACACAACATGCAGAGAGTACGCGACATACATGGAGCACACGACACAGCACAGAGAGAATATGCGACACAGGGAACACATGGAACATGACACACAGGGAACATGTGTCATGCACAGAGCATGTAACACATATGGAGCATGTAACACATGACATATACAGAACATGCAGGACAGGACTGGGAGGAACCACACCACGGGAAGAGGCTTAGGGCATGGAGAGCTGCTTTGTCTGTCCTTCCAGGTGTGTGGACACCACACTGAACAGGCTGGGGCGGGCCATTCCCTGGGGGACTGGCTCTCCAGGGCCCCCGGGCTGGGGGTGTTATGGGGAAGCGAGTCCTAAACCCTTCCCTGACTGAGAACGGGTTATGTCTGTACAGGGAGGTCAGACAGGAGGTGGGGGATTCCGGAAAGGAGATCTTGAATTCGTACCAGAAGGAGCCCGGAAAAGGAAGGAAGCGAGTGGCAGGTGATGAGACGTTTTGGAAGAGCTGCCAACTGAGTGTGCGACCAGTCCCCGTGGAAACGGAGGTCTTGAGTGACAGGCAGGGGCTCGCTCCCCATCCTGGGGGGTGGAGAACTAAACGTCTCTGCGTCACACGTACCTTATCCTTAGAAAATTTCTGCTCTAGAAAGTCACTTACAAAAATGAAAGGTTTTTTCCTGCCACAGGTTTTTTCTCCACGTGTTAATAACATTAATGATACTCATCTGTGATCCACACACCCTTAAGAATCCAGACTGTCTGTATCTCAGTGTGGTAAGTGAAACATCAGTCCGCTACCGGAAAAGACTGCACATGTAACAAATAGCAACGTTTTACCAACGTGCAAGGTCAAGCGTGCATTCTCCACCAGGCGCGAGAAAATACGTGAGCCCGGGTGTACGTGCGTGTGCACACGTGAGTGTGTGCCCGTGTGGACAAGCACACACGTAAAGTCACGCAGGCTTACCTGCGTTCACGGGTACACTGAGCACAACTCCCAGAGACATCAGAGTGGGGTACGTAACAGCGATTCCAAAATTTAGTACGATATTGAATGCTGAAATAAAGAATAAAAAGTGGGTGTCACTCAGGACTGTACCGGACTTGCCTCTCTCTGGGGTCTTCTGACCCCAGTCCGCTGACCCCTGCGCTTTGCTCTGGCTCGGCGACCCTGGTGTCCCGCAAGGCCTCCGGGACCTGGGGTTTAAGGACAAACATCCTCATTACTCAGCTCTCCTCTCCTCCCTGAGCTTTAAAGACGGGAAAAGAAATTCGGCAAAAGTAACTGGCGAGGAGGCACGAGAACGGAGGGCGGCCACCTCTGACTCTGCCGTCCATGTCGCGGCGATGCCCGTGGGCCCACGGCGTGAGCGGACGGGACACGCGTTCTTCGACGGAGACCGGTGTGCGCCTCCGAGGAAGCGTCTCTGCCCCGGACAGGACCGGCCTCGTGTGCTGTCGGGGAGACGGCGCTGCCATGGACCGTGGTGATGGCTGACACCGTGCTGAACGCCGGCATCGTGGGTGCTGTTCCAGAGCTCGGCACAGACCACTGACCGCCGCCCGCCTGCCCGTGGGGACCGGACCGTTACCAGGTGGCCGCACACGGCCTCTGGGCTGTCGGCTCAGCGCTGAGAGCAGCAGGGGCCAGGCCGCCACTGTGGTGACCGTGGTGACTGGTTCCGGAGTCGGAAGCCAGTGTCATCGTTGCACGGCGTGCTCGGTGAGACACGCTGATCGTGAGAAGCGTTGGGAGCGTGGGGATAACAGGGGTCCGTGTCCCCTGTCGGGCACGGGTTCTTGAGGCTCCCAGAGCTGCTCGGGGCCTGCCCCTCCATCCCCACTGCGGGAATCCTGGCGGCCGAGTGCCACTTACTCAATAAGAGGACCGAGAACCCGCAGAGGTTCCCCCAGGGGACGGCGTCGAAGGGGCTCCAGTACTCCACCCTGGTGAAGTAGAGAACCACGGGGATGCAGGTGACGAAGAGGACGTTGAACACACCCAGAACGGACAGGAATAAGGCGGCCTCTCCGAACTTCGCACTGCCCAGGACCAGCTTGAACAGAACCTGCGGGGGAAGCACAGGGGGCGGGGCTCAGGGGGGAGCCGGTGACCTCGGCGGGGCTGGGGGATCACGGGGCTGACAGCCGGCGACAGGAACGTGCCGCCTGCTGGGCTAGGACTCTAGTGAGGGCGGGGACCTGACCTACGCTCGCCGTGCACGTGGCCGAACCTTGGTGACACCACAACGGAGGGCCAGCCTCTGGCCACCTGCAGTGGGGGCACCTTCAGGGACCCAGGGTTCACACGGGGCTGGACTCGTTCGTGTTGTGTTCGTGACACCATCGTCCACCTCCGGAGAGTGTGACGGTGAGGCAGCCACGCAGGTCAGGAACAGCTGCCACGACCACACAGACGGCTCCTCTGGGGACCCCGCCACTGACAGCCAACCTTTTACGGCCCCCGAGGCAAAAGGCTCTGGTCGCAAGGCCATGCTCCACAGTCGAGGGTGGCGGGATTCCCACTCACAGCTCATCTGTGCTCCGGCCGCCGCCCTCAGCCCAGAAACGGCACGGGCTGTCCTGGAAGGCACTCGGCTTTGAATTCTCGCCCCGTTCTTGTGTGTGTACATCTGAGTGACACGGAAGGCCAGCAGGAGAGGGACGAATGTGCCCGGGGTGGCCGGGAAGCTAACCTGGCGGGCGGCAGGCCCCGTTCAGCCGGCGCTGCGTGAACGACCGGCAGTTAGGGGACCGGTGGTCCAGGCTGAGTCTCGCCACCGTCCCTCCTTTCCCTGCTCTTCCCCGCTCCAGCTGTCGCACAGCTGTCTCAGGTGTTCCCGAGTAAGCGTGCAGGGAGCACGGAACGGGAGAGACGATGCTTCCAGCCTTCCACCTACGCGCCCCTCCGGACAGACTGGTCAGTGGAGGAGACGGACACCGACGTCTGAACCGGATGCTGCTGTCCCCATGGGCCGCATCTCTATGCGCTCCACCTGCCATCAGCACACAGCGGGCCGAGTACGGCCGAGCGTGGCCTTCTCGTGCTTCTGCATGTGGGGAGGGCTTTGCAGTCTGAGTGGCGTTAGGCCATCACAGCTCTGGGGGGATGGCGTGTGTGTCCCTCTCTGTGGGCAGCTGGTGGAGGAGGAGAAGGGACAGCGGTTTTGCCTCTCCCAGCCTAAGGCGTGTGACGAGCTGGAACACGAGGCCTGCTCTTGTAACTTGCTCTGTCCTCCTGTCTGACCCACAGAGGGCCACAGTCTCAAAGCCAAAACCTCATTTCCATTTAATCCTCCAGTCCCTTGCCAACTGGAGGGGAGAAACAATCTGCTTTCTCCCCTCTGGCTCTAAAGGGGAGAGGGGAAGGGAGGGG